GGGGATGGTGCCACCCACACCCCAGCCCAGGGGATGGTGCCACCCACACCCCAGCCCAGGGGATGGTGCCACCCACACCCCAGCCCAGGGGATGGTGCCACCCACACCCAGCCTAGGGGATGGTGTCACCCACACCCCAGTCCAGGGGATGGTGCCACCTATACTCAAGGTGGATCTTCCCTCTTCAGTGAAACGTTTCCACATCTTATCTTATCCCAAAGGCTGAGCAGTGATAGTTAAACCTCTCCAGAAACACGCTAACAGACACAGCCAGAGCTGCATTTCCATAACAAGCCTGAGCCCAGTGAAGCTGACCATGAAGACTGGGCATCAGGGCCTCACCTAGGTCCTCGAGAACTGGATTAGAGTCAGGGACTGGGCTGACTGCTTGCTGTGTGATGTGTGTTGGATGTTGGGCCTCTCTGAGAACTCCCAGGGGTGGAAAGTGTTCAGATGCCTCCCTGGAAGACTATCTGTCGTTCTGGTTGGTTGTGAGTCGACCTGACAAAGCTAGAGTCGTTTTGTAACAGGGCCCCAGACCTTAGCACGATGGACGCCATGATAGCAGTACCCTTCGGGTGGTAAGACTCAGCACGTAGACGGCACCAGCAAAGACCTAATCCATCAAAACCCATAGTTCTGGGAAAGTCTCTAGATGTTCTAACCTTGCTTTTTGGCTTCAGTAGTTCCATTTCGGGCTAACTGTTCTTATTAACTGAAGAAGTACGTCAATCCAGGATGTGGCTTTATACTTAAAAGCTCACCCTGAGAAAGGCCCGGGGCTGCACTGGAATTCTGAATACCTAGTGTAGTCACCAGCTGGCTAATAAAGATTTTCTGCTGCAGTGGTTCTCAACCTTCCTGATGCTGAGACCCTTTAACACAGCTCCTCATGTGGTGACCCCAACTATAAAATTATTTTTGTTGCTACTTCACAACTGTAATTTTGCTACTGTTATGAATTGTAATGTAAATATCTGATATGCAGGATATCTGATATGAGATACCTGTGAAGGAGTCATTCCAACCCCAAGGGGTTCATGACCCACAGGTTGAGAACCACTGTTCTTTTGGCTTAAACCTGTGTCTGAGTAGTCTTTTCTGGTGGACACCCCACAACATATTGGGAAGAGTGCTATGGGATGTTCTGTATGGCAAATGTGTCGCTCTGATTGGTCAATAAATAAAACACTGATTGGCCAGTGGCTAGGCAGGAAGTATAGGCGGGACTAACAGAGAGGAGAAAAGAGAGAACAGGAAGGCAGAAGGAGTCACTGCCAGCTGCTGCCACGACAAGCAGCATGTGAAGATGCTGGTAAGCCACGAGACATGTGGCAAGGTATAGATTTACAGAAATGGATTAATTTAAGCTATAAGAACAGTTAGTAAGAAGCCTGCCACGGCCATACAGTTTGTAAGCAATATAAGTCTCTGTGTTTACTTGGTTGGGTCTGAGTGGTTGTGGGACTGGCGGGTGACAGAGATTTGTCCTGACTGTGGGCCAGGCAGGAAAACTCTAGCTACAGAAGAGGTTCTCGAAATTGAGAAAATGTGTCCATAAGATTGGCCTACAGGCAAATTTGTTGAGCATTTTCTTGGTAAATGATTGATGTGGGAGGGTCCAGGCCACTGTAGATGGTGCCACCCCTGGGCTGGTGGTCCAGATAAAATAAAAAAGCCGGATGGACAAGCCATGAAAAGCGAGCCAGGAAGCGAGCCAGGAAGCACTCCTCCACGGCCTGCTTCAGGTCCTGCCTCCAGGTTCCTGCCTCGAGCTCCTGCCCTGGCTTCCCTTACTGATAATGTGACCTGGGAGTTGTAAGCTGAAACCAGCCCTGACCTCTGTCTTAGTTAAGGTTTCCATTGCTGCAAAGAAACACCAAAAGCAAAAGCAGCTTGTCAGCCTGCCCTCCGAAGACAGAGAAGAAGCAAGCTGTGGAAAGCGAGTACAGCTACTGTACCGACTAACAACTTTGATTTTAACAGGACGTTCCCATCAGCAAACAAAAACCACCCAGGACGATGAGCCTTTGGGGAAAGGGGAACACATGATTCCTGCCCAGAAGGGTTCTTGGAAGGCAGAGGAGTGTGGGAGACCTGGAAGCAGAGACAAAAGATTTCATAAGAACCAGCTCTCTGCCACTCATAAAGCTCAGTGAGGGAGGAGGAAGGTTCTATGTTAACTAGGCGGGAGGCAGTTAAGGAAGGAGGCCCCTGGGTGCCATAAACCTAATGGTGTGGACAAGCTGGGACGTCATTCTTCTTATTGCAATTAACGGGTCTCCAGCAACATCGCGGCGCTCAGTTTATCTGGTGGATGGAGCTGACAGGTAGGTAAAGGGGAGAATGCAGTAGAACCCGGAACACAGAGGGTAGCTTTCTGGAGGCCCTGTGAGGTCACTGAGCAATCCACGAAACGGAGGCAGGGGCTCATCCCAGATGGCCTGGCTGCTCTCTGTGAAGATGCTCAGTCTCTCCTACTAGGTGAGAACCTTCTCCACACCCCGGCTCTTTTCAGCTGCAAGTCATTCCTCATCCCTGTATACTGATGTGATGGCTATTCTTGGTTGTCAACTTGACTGCATCTGGAATTAACTAAAACCCAAGTGACTAGGTATATCTGTGAGGGATTTTTTTTTTAATTAAGTCATTTGAAGTGTGAAGACCTACTTCTTTTTTTTTTTCTTAACTTTCTTTATATTTATTCTTTGTGTCTTTCATATCATGCCTCCTGGTCCCACCCATCCCCCTCCCCTTTCATAATAAAACAAAATAAAATTTAAAGGGGAAAAAAAGAATGGGAAAATCTGGTCATGGACCCTGCAGTGTGACACAGTGAGTCACGCAGTAACCCCTTTATCCTTGTATTTTACTGCAGGTGTTCATTGAGAAAAAACATTGGTCTCATTGAGGCCCTTGGTCTCTGCTACACCATCGATGCTGGGCCCTCACTAGGACTCTCTCTTCCTGGACAGTCCATTGCTGCCCTGTGTTGTGGAGATTCTGCAGCCCTGGGTCTGCAGGACTGAAGCAAGATCCTAGTTAGTCTTAACAATAAAAACCTGGAGTCACGTAAAACTTGGCTATTGTAGCTGGGATACGACACATGCCTGTGACCACAGTTACTCATGAGGCTGAGGCAGAAAGAACATGGTGGATGATTCCAGCCTAGTCTACAGGGTTCCTGGCCTGTTGAAGCTATGCAGGGAGACTCTGCCTCAAAATTTTAAAAACCAAATGTGGATACTATGATGCCAACAACTCTGATTTTCTTCAAATATCACATTAAAATGTGACTTATTTTGACACAAGCTTTGCAAGTCCATAATGTCAAGTGTCTCACTTGTGCTTCTAAGTCCTTGGTACTCTTAAATTTTTAAACTGTTTTCTTTGTGAAACAAGACCTTGCTCTGCAACTCATGCTGGCCTCCATCTTACTAAATATACCAGGTTGCCCTTGAACCCCTGACCTTCCTGCCTCAGACTCTCCAGTGCTGGGAAGACAAGCATGTGCCACCATGGCTCTGCACGGATATTTCTTGTTCTGAAAGCTGCACTGGGGTTAGACAGATTTTTTGTTGGGCTTCCAGCTCACAAAAATGACACAGAGACTTCTTATTAATTATGAAAACCCAGCCTTAGCGTAGGCTTGTTTCTAACTAGCTCTTATAACTTAAATTAACCATTTCTATTCATCTATGTGCTGCCACGTGGCTCATGGCTTTTACCTCTCCTTCTGCATGTCCTGCTTCCTCTGTGTCCAGCTGATGACCCCTCCTTTCTTCTTCCCAGAGCTCTCTCTGTCTGGAAGTCCTGCCTATACCTCCTGGCTGTTGCTGTGGAATAATCTTTTAGTACACTGTAAATTTGTATTACTCTCATTAGTTAATAAAGAGCTGACTGGCCAATGGCCAGAGAGAACACTGGGAAGAAGAGGGGCAGAGTTAAGGGAGTCTGAGAAGACGCCATGAGACAGAGTGAGCAGGATGGGAAGTACGTACATGAGGTAAATAAGTGCAGATGAAATTCTAAACAGTCTTATTAAAGAAACACAGAGCCAAATATAGAGTTAAAACCTCAAGAGATCAGAGTAGTAGTGGAGAGCAAGACTACCTTTAGCTTACCAGTCACTGCCGGTGGCTTCCCAAGACACACCTTCTTCCTGTGTGTCTTGTCTTTGATTGCTTTCCTGTTCTGCTTTCTCATTGGCTCTAAGCCCAGCCACATGACTTCCTTGTTACTGCCTGTCTATACAGACCTCCAGGTCTCTATGGTTGATACTGGGATTAAAGACTCAAGGGTCACCATGCTTGGCTGTGTCCTTGACCACACAGAGACTGCCTGCCATGTGATCTGATTAAGGGCATGGGCTACCACCGCCTGACTTCTATTTATGGCTATGACTTCTGATCTCCAGGCAAACTTTATTTATTAACATACAAATAAAATCACATTTCAGGACAATTAAAATATCACCACAAATAAGCTTCGGGGTAGCACACAGATTAATAGAAATGGGTTAATTTAAGTTATAAGAGCTAGCTAAAGACAAGCTTAAGTTATCAGCCAAGCATTTATAAATAATTTAAGTCTCTGTGTGGTTATTTTGGGAGTGGCTGGCAGTTTAGAAAAGTCAGGCCATTTAGCTTTTTATTAAACCAATCACAGTGACGTCTCTTTATACAGTGTAATCAAATATTTCACAACATTTCTTATTTTTTATCTAAATAAAAAGGAAAGAATAAATGGCTTGCTAGACATAAACATAGATGTTTCTTATATTTCAGAAAAAGATTGGCCAAGTACTTAAGACGACTATTACTTCTTCGTCTCTTACAGGCTTAGGTCAAGCTAATAATGTAGCCAAAAGGTCAGGAAAATCTAATGCTCCTATCTGGATCAAACAATGGCTTTTAAATGCTGAGAAAATTATAATTGCTACCTGTCTGGTGGAGGAAAAACTTAAATATTGGGCATATAAAGCCCCCACCAGCCCTTAAATCACCCCAATATCTTTTTATTTAGGAAAATCAGGCTTATAGACTGTTACAGGTCCTTAAAAAATTAAATAAAATTTATTAAAGCCAAGGAAAGTCTCACAGCCTGGCTTGCCATCTCCCAGGGCCATCAACACCCCCCCCCCCCAAAATCGTCATAGATATATGTTGCTAGAGTTTTCCGGCCTTGCCCACAGTCAGGACAAATCTTTGTCACCCACCAGTCCCACAGCCGCTCAGACCCAACCAAGTAAACACAGAGACTTATATTGCTTACAAACTG